TCACTCGATGCAAATCGCAGGCACACTTACGCTAGTTACAAAAAAAACACACCCGTGCAAAGAAACGGATCCAATAAACGTCACTCTTGCGAAAGCACACCCGTCGTCGTCGAACGGAAAAAAGGAATCGGAGGGCAATTTTGTGATACGGATCTCCAAAATCAAACGGGAATGCACGAATTTCACCACACCCAACTGCGAAACACGTTCAGAAGCACTTATAGTACACTTTCGTTCGAAAACACTTAATTTTTTCAAAAATAGTTGCGGGTGAACCAACATCATCACCGCGTAACTAAACTAAAATTAAAATTATCACTCGCGATGCCACAAATTTCTGGACCGGGAGAAAAATTAAACAACGCAGATAGCGTTAAATCTTCTGTTGCTTGCAAACATGATGAATCATGTTTTTCTGGACCAGCCAACTTCATTCAACCGGCACAGTAACAGAGCGCAGTGATGATGGTCTACGGACTTGATAACAACACAGCCAACACCGAGAAGCTGTTCAATCTGTTCTGCCTGTACGGAAATGTCAGGGTAAAGTTCCTGAAGAGCAAAGAGGGTACCGCCATGGTCCAGATGGGAGACGCCATCGCAGTCGAACCAGTCGAACGCAGTAATCGCTTCCTTTCGTTGACCCAGGCCAGCAAAAATCGCTTTCTGCCACCGAGCAAGATTCTCCACTTCAATACCCCACCCGTTATATCGGAGGATCTGCTGCTGACTGCATTCACCACCAAAGACTGCAACCCGTCGCAAAGGTGGATGTTCCCGCTGAAATCGGAACGTTCCACCTTCGAATTGATCGAGTTCCCGAGCGTAGGCCCTGGCGGTGAACGTCATCATGAAGTGCAACCACAGCGCGATCGATCACAAAGGCACACAATTCCCGTTCATTATGAAGCTGTGTTTTTCGAGAACATCGAAAACATGGGCATGTGCATGGCACCAGCACCTGGCAACCCAATTTCGGTAGCAGCCGTGTCAACCTTCGTCGTGGCAGCAGCGTCATTTCGATGACGGGCGACTGTCTCAAATCCGAACACGATGAACCAATGTAAGATGGAGTTCATGTCCTTAGAAGGAAAGTAAAAGCAACGACGTAACTCGTTCGTCAGCTCTCATCCCACCATCAACGATCATCATCGTCATTGTCAGCACCATCCAAGACTACACATACACACCCCCCACGTCCTTTCCAATTCGATTCGAGACTACATGGCGGAAGTTCGATCTTGATAACATCCACTTATTGAAGGGAGAAAACATTGAAACAATATCAAAGCTAAATTTAAGGCACAGTCCAACGTCCGTCAAGACATAACCTAAGTAGTGTATTGCTAGAGCCAAGGCTACACGAATTAGCGATGCAGCTCCCATGCCTGCAGTTGCTTCTAATGCTACTGCTGCTGCTGGTCCGTCTCCTCTAAAATTCGTCAAAAGAATATTGCAGGAGATGGACCAGCAGCATTAGAAGCAGCCGCAGCCGTGGAAGCTGCATCGCTAGTTCGTGTAGTCGTGGCCAGAAACCTCGGTCCAGTCACGATACCGCTGTCAGCTGTTCTTTTTCTGGGAGGAAATGTACCGTCACCGGTGTAACGATTCTGATAACGGAGTGTTGCTATGCAATCTATTGCCCTGATTTCTTCATGCTGGGTGGTCGGAATCTGGGAGGGAGAAGCAAATACTACACACAAAATCTAATAAATCAATCACAATATTGCGCACGAAAATTCTTGGCAAATAAAAATTATCAAGTAATTTGTTCCCATAATGAGGGGTTTCGGTTTTTCGTGTCTCTGTTTTTACGTGTTACCGTCGGATGACTTAATGCTTGTGGAAAGTTGGAGTTGAAAAATCACTTGTAGAGACTCGTAGTGAATCAGCCAAAATGAAGTGTCAGGTGAAATACTGCGGCCGGAACAGCAGGAATTATCCTGGATTGGGTTTTTTGCGCTTTCCTACTGATTATATCACAAGATCCCAATGGATTAAGTTCTGTCGGATGGATTCCGAAACCGGCGAAATTAAACCAAGCTCGCGAGTCTGTAGCGTAAGTGTTGGTACAAGTGTTTTGCATTTTATCAATGTTGCTATGATCTTTTTTAATTATTTGCAGGCCCATTTCTTAGAGGACTGCTTCCGCGTCGATAAAAATGGGAAGAAAACGAAAAAAAAAGATGCCGTTCCGTCGATTGAAGCTTTCTTGCTACCTCCTGAAGACGAACCGGAAGAGAGCGACCGGTTGTTGGACTTTAATAAATCCCGTCCCCTCTACTCTTCGCCGGCTCTTCTGGATCATAACTACGCAAACTTTGCTGCTGTGGTGCCTGAATGGGTTGCTATTGGAGATGAAAATGATGAACAGAACACTGAAGAGGATTCAGACCCGGAAGTCGCCAGGAACGATCTGGTTTTATAGGAAAAGTTCGAACCACAAAGTGAACCGGTCTGTGGTACAGCGTGTAACGAAGGAACTCATTCGGGCTCAAGGATTAGAGATTACCAATAACAATACATCACATTAACAAACAATCCCATAAAGATGGTCAGATATAGACATTTGAATACCCGAACCGAACCCGTACCCAATTCATAGAAATTTCAAGAACCCGAAACCGACCTGACCTCTGTAATTAACGGTAAGTTTTTGCGTGCCCCTAGATGCTACCCGTACCCAAATATACCCCTTACTCGATCCGAACTCAAAAATATTTTCTTCGTATACTCGTACCCGACACGAACCGAAAATTTAGAGTAACCGTACCTGAATATCTCTACAACCCCCTCCATTTTGAGAAAACTATCAAATTTACGATATAACATGCTTGATACACTACAATTTAGCTAAATTACATACCGATTCCTCAACTAAAAAACGAAAATTTTGCAGTGCAAATTGTTTTCAAGCAAGAAAATATTTTATATTCGATATCAATACTTCCCATTGATTGATGTTTTGTACTGGTGGCTCCCACTGACAGTTTGTGACAGCTCATTTCTGGCTTCACTTGACATTCACATTTTCCGAGTCTGTTTCTCCCTCCCAGGTCGGAATGATTGTACGCAGTCCGGCGCGAAATGATGTACCTAGTTCTTCGGACAGGCATCAGGATGTGCGCTGACCATTCAATTTAGGAGAATCCATGGTGAGTGCAGATTCACGGTTGTGTTTTGAAGCAAATTGATTATCTTGCGGCAACTTCAATAACAAATTTTGACACTGCGCAGGCGCAGAAAAAGTTCAGTGTTGCCAGTAACTTTAAAGATCAGAAAAATTGTAACCATGGGTACTAAACAGTGCCAATGGCTGTGCCCAGGTGTGCCCAAGCTTGTTTTGGCACACTGTGCGGAGTGACCAGCCCCTTGTGGGCAGTACAGTCTTCCATCATAGTGAATTTCAGGGGAAACATCAGAAGGGTCTAACTCGAAACGTAAACAATGACTTGGATCGTCGGTTTCTTACGAATGACAACACACCCACTCAAACTAACTAAATCATCTGACAGCAAAATGTTTGTTCTATGAGCTGGTGTAGTCAGATTTCGTGGGTGTGTGGTCGTTCAAGAGAAATCGACGTTCAAAGTCATTGTTTACGTTTCGAGTTATACCCTTCTGACATGTTTCCCCTGATTTAAGGAAAAACAGGTATTTGCTGTCGTCTGCTGTCTATGAGACCTAACGCAACTGATTTCCTGGAAATTCTTACACAGAAGAAGTGCTTTTTTATCCATTGATAAAGGATGTAGAGAATTCTATGAAACTGAATTCTTCCCACTCAAGTTGTTGCATCTTATTGTGAGTGTGCTATTTGTCTCGATAACGGTAAGGGACCATGATTAGCGGTATCTATTATCTAAAAAATTACATGTTTGTTTATAGCAAATAGCAGGTAGAGTAAGCAAGTGCAAAAAAAAAGTGATAACTTCCTCAAACATAATGCCATTATTTAGGTGAGTGCATCTTAAAGCGAGCCGCCGTAGTTTGTACATAAATTAAACCCAAAATATCATGCCATGGAAACGGGGGCCCACTAATCGTAAGCGTATAGCATCCAATCACGCTGTGAACAGTGCGTCAGTCTGGGGTTTTTTTTCGCATGTTGAAAATATTGTACATATTAAGCATATGCATCAGCCCATTGTCTCTGTTTGAAATCGCTCTCAATTAACAATTATGCAAATGTTCAAGTTGAGAGTAGGCATATTTTCCAGAAAGAACACCAGGATAAAGTAAATCAATTCAACTTATTTGACGCCCAGCACAGGTCGAAAATTTAACTTGTACTTTTCTCGCTAGCTCTTCACATGGATAAGTAAGAGACCGGAAACATGCTAATAAGTCGCCCAAGCTCTTAAACTTTCTAGTCAAATAACACACTCTCGAATTGTATCGCCCAGTTCATTCAGCCGATGCCGCATTTATGTGACGTTCTACAAATTCACAGAATTCCGTGGCATCGTGGTGACCCACTTTCAATTCGCTTTTGGACTGAATGAAGACATCTCCATCTTAATTAGCACATCGTGCAGCCGACACGAATATCAAACATTTCATACCTCCCTATTGAAGCATCGGCGAACAGCACAGGATCGATGAAGCAGCTCTAGGTATGCACATCAGAATAAACAGACTTGTCCTATGCCATTTCGACCGTTACTGGAATATCTAGATCACCAAACTTTAGAAAGTGATAATAACAACCAAAAGCATCATACTATGTGCGGTGCTGCTTTGCGCCTTTCCGGCGAAAGTGAATTTTCTCCCTCCATCTGGATCTCCTAAACAATAGCCTCGTTCTTTTGCAGCATCCTGGCCGCAATAGGGCATTGAATTTTTTGGTGACACACTGAATGGACGCATCACCTAGTTCCGAAGGGTCTTACATTTCCAATCGGTGTGAAAAACGATGAATTGTGATACGTTCTGGTTGTGAAAAGTGAATCATTAGCGATAAAATTACCCACTGTCCGAAGGAGACGAAGAGGGTAAGAATGAAAGTGAGTCTGACTTTAAGCGGATTGCTTCTGGGTGTGCTGCTAGTGATCCATGCAGAGGCCGGAATAGTACAGATCAGCGCATACGGCGACGTTTCCAGGCAAGGAGATTCTTCATTGAACAATAGTTCTGATGAAAGGTTAGTGAACCATGGCGGAAGATTGAGAAGCTGATAACGTGTGGATATAATTTCAGTGTTGGGACTGGTCGAGCGATGAGTAGCGGAGGTTATCGACATATTTTCGATGGATTACTCACGAAGCCTGTATATTATGGAGCTATGGGGAATTCGTTTAAACTACCAAAATACATTAATTATCCCAGCAACATCCAAGTTGTGTATCCTCAACGACCATCAAAGGATGGTGAGATCTTCACATTGAGATGATGATGCAGAGCAAGTTGATTTTTTTTTCATTGCGAATGTTTCAGCGGTGGCCTCGGACCGATTCACCCCAGGAGAAGCATATGGTGGAATCGTTTTCAAAATACTTAAAGCTAAACAGGAAAAACGAAAAGGATATCAGTACCAGAAGCCCAATGGTAAGCTATGTTTAGTGATTGATTAATTAGTTGCTCAGTGCAGTGCTGCAAAATCTCGACCGTACACGACGATATTAACAAAACAGCTTTCGTCACCATCGCGGAACGAAAGGGATCTTCAATGGATGCCATGTGACAATACAGTCAGTGACGAACATGTGCATGTTTTATTTGCAGCAAAATTTAGAACGAAATTAAATGGGTTATGCTAAATAAATCTATTAATCCATCACAGTAAATAAGCATCTCCCAAGCAACAATTTTGGTTTTATGAGGGTTCTGTTGACCATAAATTGGACTTGCAGAACGCTTTAAAACCTTGATAAAACTTGCAATGTTACTTGGGCTACGTCCTCAGCTGAATTTAAATCAATTGTGTGCATGAGAATACTCAAAATTTCACTATTTGTTACCGTCAGCGAGGGTGACATTGGGCCAAAAACATAGTTTTTCGTTCCCTATCTTGTTACATTCACATTTTAGCAAGAAAATCAATTTGAAGCATACGAATAAATTCATTAACGACTGTCATAGAGAAGGTTGACTGAAATTAAAATTAAAATTATATAAATAATGGCCCAATATAGATTGAGAAAAAACCATATATTTGAAAAAAAAAAACAAAAAACAAAAAGGTTATTTTCCATTTAATTCCACTTAATTAATTTGTGTATCCATGAAGAATACGTATTTCGTCTACAATGTGCAGTCTTTATCAGAGTTTTTACTTACTTACTTAACCCTCCGTCACTCGCGCCAACTTTAGTAACACGAGTACTCGCGCATTGTACTTTGTACAACAGTGTGAGTTTTCCATTGCCATTTTGCAGCCGAGCTACCAATCGATATGAAACCAACGGGTATTCCTTAAAAACTTGTTTTTAACTAATCAAGCTAAACTTTTATCACAGTTAACCCACAAAAATCTAACTAATCAAGCTAAACTTTTATCACAGTTAACCCACAAAAATGCGGATCACAGAGAAAATGTGAATTGAAACCGCGTAAACGGTGTCCGTACTACGTGAGATTTGACTTAATTGGTTACAACATGGAAAATCTCGAGATCCTGACCAGATAGAAAGTTACTGTCTTCGGCAAAGTTTTTCTATAGATCATAACCTTTTTGCTGGTGGAGAGTAGTTCAGAATTTTTTCACTACGTAGCGCTAGAATACATGTGGAATTATCGTATGTGATATATCTCGAGATCATGACCAGGTAGAAAGTTACTGTCGTCGACAAAGTTGTTGATGAGATCAAAACCTATTTCTTGGTGCACAATAGTTCAAATTTTTCTCCATACGCGGCGCTAGTATACACATGAAATTCTCATATAAAATATCTCAAGATTCTGACCAGATAGAAAGTTACTGTCTTCGGCAAAGTTTTTTTAGGAAGTAAAGATCTTTTCGTTGGTTGAGTAGTTCAGAAAATTCTCACTACGTGGTGCTAGTATACACGTGCAATTTTCGTTTATACAATAGCTCGAGATCCTGAGCTTGAGCTTGAGCTTGAGCTTGATTGACCGCCCACGGTTGCTACTCTGTTATTGCCAGATCAGCTGTAATTACACAGAGAACCAGTAGACGATGCTTGGGACTAGCAATCATCCTCAATGTGTAAAAACTGGTGATCTTAAATTAGGCAATACCAGCGCCGGCCGCGCCCGAACACAGGTCAAGAAAGGAATGGGAAGGATTGTGTTGACATGACACTCGCGTTGATGGAAGCCAAGAACACCTCTGCACTTCCACGAGGAATCACTGGGATGTTGGATAAGAGGGTTGGGTTTGCAGCAGGGTTCGTTTTGGTAAACGATAAGCTGAATTGATGTCCTAACGATCATATAACGCGAAGGAGCTTGGGACTAAACCCACGGTCTTCTGCTCAGTAAGCAAAAACGTTTGCCACTAGGCAGACGAGCACCTTTTTAATCACCGAGTTGCTGTTATTACCATGTAGTCATATTAACAAATAAAACGATTGACGAATCTTGAATGTGGATGAGCCTGAGATTAGACTCATGATGTTCTGCTCAGTAAGCAAAAACGGTTGCTCTAAGGCCACCGAGCCCCTCATATCACATAATACCGTTGCTCAAATTTTTGTATCCATTCAAAACCGGAACCAACGACAACAACGAGTTTCGCAAAATACACGATACACAAGCGATTTTACCATAAATCTCTTTGATATGTAAGGACCTGGGACCGCGCTTTTCTGCTCAGTAAGCAGGTCACTGTAACCGACGATCTTTCAAATCCGAAAACTAAAAACTACGAAAAAGTACTTAGGCCTTCATTAAGTTCCACTTTCACGCGACGTTCAATGTATCAATTTGCTCTTTCCGTATTGTTCAGGCTATAAATAGGCCCTTTTCAAAAGTTACGCGAGAAATACGCACAATCGTCGCCTAACTCGCAAAACTGGTTCCAAACCACAACAAAGGCATAAGCAACGATGGATTGTTGAACTTTGCTGCCTCCGGTGGTGTAGTGCACAGCATAAAAAAATGTAATATCGATCAACGTAACTCAAGCTGATGTATGAAATAATGATGTAATTTTAATTTTGTAATTTATCAGCACACACTCTGGTCGACCACTGTAAACCAATCTGTCGTTAAGCGAGTTTGTACCTACTGAAACCTGGCCGTAGGCCTATGCTAGACCGTATAGCATAACGATCTTCTTCCACTAGCAGGCGTGTTTCTGTTTGCACAGACAGTCCCACTAGTTTCCGATACATTTATAGGGGATAGTAGGAGATTAAAAGAATGGAGAAGAGTTATAGAGGTTTTTTTTGTTGTTGTTTTGCTGAAAAGAGAGAAACAGAACTACACGAAATTACACCTGCTGAAAAAAAAGGTAAGTCTATTATTTTGGTTAGTGATCGTTTGGATTTGGGTCACCCCACGTTGTGTTTAGGTTAGTATAAATAAATAATACTATATAGTCATATAAATCACCACAGCTCATTATCTTCAGCGTTATCGGCTTTTGTTTCTGGTCTTTAGTTGCCAATGTGATATACTTACTTGCAGCATACTATTTTGGGATTGTGTATATGAGCGTGTACCATGTACGGTAGCTCATCTCTCATCGTGATGGTGGGACATAGTAGACAAATTAGAGAGAAAACAAGGAGGTATTAGTATTAGTTATATGTAAACAAACAAAACAAAAGAAGAGAAGAGGAAAGAAGAGCAGAAAAATAAAACGGGGATAAAGTAGATAACAAAGAAAAGAAACGTAGGCAGATTATAAGAAAAGGCATTATCCGAGACCTCAATCAAATGTCACTCCCGCCGAGATCTCAGCGAAACCCCCTTCCCTTCGAGACCCACACAGCCGAGCTCGGTAGAAAAAACTAAGTGTGTAGATAGATTAGTAGGAAAATAAATAAAACTACTTTATGACTCAAAGTGCAATGAATGAGCGTTAGTTTCGGGATTATTTCAGTGTTAGAGTTATGTTAGTTTTGATCCGTAATCAGCCCTGCCGACCCCTCCAACATTAGTTGCAGGCAGTGGTTGTTAGATAATGCGGCACTGTAACTACTACTATTTTAGAGGTATGGTTCGTCAAGTTTATACAACTCAATGTTTCAATTGAGGCAAACTATCTATCTTACAATTACAAAAGCAAACCTAAACTTACAATTAATCATGTTTTGTTGTTTTTGACATCATCCACATCCAGAGGGCCATTCACTTTCGAATGTATGGGAATGGTAGGAAACCATTTGGAAATGCATGAAAATTTTCAGTTTTTATTCATTATCGTCTTTATGGGCAGTTTTAGATGCACAAAAATTGAACGAGTACATTACTATGGTGATAAGGTAAACACTCGTTTATTTGTTTCCTTCTGTGAAAGCATGTTTAGTCACCAATCGTGGATTTTCTGATATTCTCCATACTGCAAAAATGATTTTCCTACCACTGAAGGGGCGACATCTCTCGGATCTTCAGTATAGCTACTACTCAAATCATATAATTAATTATATGCAAATGCAAAATGAAACTTGACAAATCATCGTCAATCCCCTTATTCCAGGGCAGGGCCTGACGATTTGAATCTAATGTTGATCAGTAAACGGGCACCATATGGTACATTTTTTCACCATGAACCTATCATTTCCAGCCTATCTGAACTATTTAATAAATGGAAGCCATGACATGGGTTACGCTCCCCCTGAGCGGGCCCTCCGCATCCTGTCTCTGTCTTATCTCAAATACAAAATGCCATGCCAATGGTATGAATGTATCTATATATAACTTGGAAATGACGTACAATCAAGTAAACCCGTAACCCACTCACTTGGTCAGGCTTCAGAATCGTCCAGTGGGCAGTGCGCTCTACACTCCAAGTTCCCTTTTTTCAAATTTACCGCAAATTTGATATTTTACCCTTTGAGTGTTTATTAGTCACAATGAAACATTGTGGCAGAAGTTGAGGTTACTAGTGTATTAAATAATCTAGGTCCTATTTAGGAATCCAAATCTGGCCAACGCCCACCCTAAACCTAAACCTGTTCTAATCCACCTTAAATGACTAACGAATGGAAGACTTTGACTACCCAGCCATGCAATAGTCTCATTACGTGCCTTATGGCAACTTGATGATTCTATTGCGCTCATCTTCTGGCACCACCCAGGGGAAACTTGGTCCTGTACCCAATGCTTAACTTATCTCCATTCCACTCAGCTACTCGCAATTTCTTGTGATATAGTGGGCGGAATATTATTATATGAGACAATTCAATGCAGACGTCTTTCCAAATTTGGCAGATCGACAGGTAATCGGTGTTGCTATTCAACAACTCGACAGCGTCCCATCGTCAACGCCTGCTATGAGAATTTCCCATTGCAGACGCCAACGAAATGACGTCATCGAGCTATCGATCAACTACCCTGGTTATCGCCTGGTACCTTATTGGAAGATTGCCGTAAAAGCTCGTCGCAGATGTCGCCACTGCATGATGATGATAATGTTG